CTGTATGTTAAAAAAAATTCTCTGGATTTTATTTAATTATGAAAGATGAATAAAATAAATTACCTCCCTTCAAGTTCTACTTTATTTAATAACTTCTGTTCCTTTTCTGCAAACAGTACATTTTTATACTTGTGTAAGACTCCAGAGCTTTCACAAAAATGATAATGAATGGAAGCCTTTAAATATAATATGGAAGAGACAATGGGGTATTTAAAATATATATGGAAATGCCACTGGTATTCATTACAGATTTTTAAAACCTCAATTATTTCTTATTGATTTAGAATACTTTATGTGATTTTGGTAGAATCTTTAACATATATATTCTGAAATTTTCAGTTACTTTACATAAATAATGATTAAAGTTACATTGAAATAGCAAAAAAAGAATTTTATATATGAACTTGGAAAGTGAATAAAGTTGTAATCCTATACATTTATTCAAAAATACAGAAGCCAGCCCAGGTTTTTCAAACAATGAGTTAATTTTTTAATAGTTATATGTTCTGGGGAAACTTTATTAGGGCTTGCTTTTTTTGTTTGTCTTAATGTCCAAAAGAATTGTTTAGAACATTTGCTTTCAGTTTTTTTAGGCTAAAATTACCCCAGCTATGCACTACAACAAACATACTAATATCTCCTTGTCTGAAGTAGACCAAGAACATTTTACCAACCTTTGTACATAAGTATAATCTGTGCACAAAAAAATACACATGTTGTAGGAGTACAACTGAGCAAATTTTCACTAGCTGATTATCCCAGTGTATCTATCCACCAAATCAAGAAATCATCACCAGTACCTGAAAAACCCTCTGCTCTTTTCCCCAAAGGTAGTCAATTATCCTCATTTCTGATATCATAGAATCTTTTTTTTTACATTATTTCATTGGACATTGAATTGGATATTGGACACATAGTATGTTCAGTTTTACATCTGATTTCTTTAGCTCACCATTGTTTGTGTGATTCATTCATAATGTTGCATGTAATTGTAGGCAGTTATTATAATTGTGGTACAGTATTTGTTACATGAATGTACCTCAATTTATCCTTCTACCATTGATGGAGATTTGAGAGATAACAGGTTTCAGCTATTGCAAACAACAATATTCTATTATATTACATGCTTTTTCGTAAATGTTTTTACAAGTTTATGATAAAAACATACCTAGAAATGGGATTCCTGGATCATAGAGATTGTGTATGTTCACCTTCAGTAGAAACAGCCAAATAGATTCCCAAAGGTCGTGCTGATTCTACACTGCCACCAGCTGAACTCTGGTTACTTCTGCCACCAGAAGAATTCTGGTTACTCCGATGCTCAAAATCCTCATCAACACTTAATGTTTCTGTTTTGTTTTGTTTTGTTTTTTTCCCAGCCATTCTGGTGATTATTTAGTGATATGTCATTATGGTTATAATTTCTATTTCTCTGATGCCTTTTCATATGTTTTATGGGCAATTTGTATATCCTCAAAGAGAGGTGATTTATGCAGAGAAATGTTTACAAAAGTGACGGATAAGCAGAAAAGGGGAAGAATGAGTATTAGACCAAATCAGGAAACCGTCCCTCTGTCCTGAGACACATTCATATCTAAGTTGCTACAGGGCACTGCTTTTGAAACGGAGCTGCCTCACCTGCTTGGTTTTGGGACCCGAAAATGCTGGAGACCACACTTTCCTGATAGTTGCCTTTCTGCTAAATTGAGAGTTGAACACAGAATGCCTCTTTCAGTGCCTCCCATTTGTAAAGCGAATCGTGAGACAAAGCAAGAAATTCTAGTGTCATTTTCAGCTTCCAGCATGCCACTCCTGTCCTCCATTCCTCATAGAAAGAAAAACTTGGAAGGTCAGGAAGCAAGCTATATACTAGTTGTCTTTATCTAGTGCAGTGCCCTTTACCTTAGCCCTCTAAATATCAAGGAGCAAGAAGGTGTATACAGACTATGGCCATATGGACAACAGTGGTCTATCAACATTTTTTAAGCAACTGGTTAATCAGTAATTTTCATGTATTTGGCACAGAGTTCTAGAAAAATAAAAAGTTAGTTAAGTACTTCTTACCCTTCTGATTCTTGTACCATCTTAGTGAATAAAGGGAAAAAATCATAAGGCATCAGTTAATTATACAGAAAATTGGAAGGCTGAGTTGTCATAATAGAGATTATGAGTCTTAAGTGACTTGTCTGAGAGCAGGAGGGGAGAAATGACAGCTAACATGGTTGGGCATGTAGTCGGTTGAGCTTTATCTCAAAGGGTAAATAATCTTTGAATACAAGGAAGGAAGAAGAAAAAAAGCACTGGGCAACAGGAGCAATACAAATGGAATAAGAACATAGGATTGACGGATTGAGCAGTGGCATCTTTCCAAAATATTAAGATTCTGTCTTATCTTGCTTCAAAGTAGGCTTTGGAAGAATATAGGAGAATCAATAAATTAAAATCTTGTAACAAGACTGCTGTCAAGCCTGAAAACAACACTGCAGGAAGAATAAGGAAACAAAGATATTTAGCTAAGAGAGGACAAACCTAAAACAATGTCTATCATGTCTAAGAAAGTGTAAACTTGTTTCAGTTGTTTGGAAAGGAAGAGCTTCAATCAATGTTCACATGTTAGAGGCATCCAGCTATAAATTCAGTGAAAAGGAGTTTTTTTAAACAATTGCTATTTTATAGTGAAATATACTACGTCATGTAGATATGATGTCTTCAGCCCTAAACTATTCTCATAGAAGTTAAATTACCAACTATACCATAGAAGGGATTTCGGAAATCAAAATCAAGAAGATGATCCAAGTGTCCCTTTAATCTAAAGCATAATCTGAGACAGATAGGAAATTGAAAGCCAGTTAGTTTTGAATTTATTAACTGATCTAATTATTTATTCTTATATAACTACTCTGTTCCAAATACTATCTAGGAAACTGGTAAATTAAATAATTCAATGTTTTCTAGAAGAAATTGGAAGGAACCCTAGTCTTAGAAGATACTCCATGAAAGAAATAAATCTGAAGTACAATAATGTTGAGAAATTCTGCATCTGTTTACTCTTTTAATAGTAATTACCATAATTTTTAGAATATAAAACACTTTCATGACTCTTCCATGTCCTTAAGTAAATAAATTTGCTTAACTTCTGATTCATCTGGCATTTTCTCACTTTTCTCAAAAAAATCGATTTTCTTTCAGTAAAAGTATAATATCAACATTCTGGAACTGGTATATGCATAGAACTAATTTGATACATTTTAATTGTAATCACAGCTATTGCCTATGGGAATGTATGGTCTCATAAGGGTAATAAACAGTTATTATTCAAAATGCAAAGCAGTGCTACAGGGGGTGAATGCACTATGGAAACATATACCTAACCCAGCTTTGGGGTGGGAATGAGGGCAGGAAAATTTCTAAAGAAAATAACACAAAAGCTAAGATCTATAGTATACTCAGGAATTACTGGGAAAGAAGGAGGGAAATAGGGTTTCAGACTTGTTATTAATGTATATTAATACAGACTTGTTTTACATCTCAGTTTTTCTTACAGGGTCACTGCAAAGGTCATTGAAACATTGAACTATATGATCTCAGGTGTAGGAAAGAAGCATAGATATCCTCTAATGTAGAAGCCTTTTCTAGAATGGTCTAACAGAAGGTCATCTAACTTGTTTAAATATTTTTTGAGCTCTCTATCTTATGATTCATTTTTTTCCTCTTATATTAAGATGAAATCAACCTTTCTGTAACTTTCCCCTGTCCCAGCTCTGCATTTTTGAGCTGCACAAAAGAACTCTAGACTTTATTACTTTGGGAGTACCAGAGTCATTTTCTACTGGTGATGGAATTTAAAATCAAATCTATTAATGGAGTTTTCAGTAGCTCTGTCCATTCATTTTAATACCAGACATTTCACTACTTTTTAACACGTGAAGTACATCTGCACATTTTAAAGTTTTCTTAAAACTACAATATAAATATTGAGTTTTGTATAACCTTTTATTTATCAAGGGAGTATTTGGGGGATTTGGTTTTGGCATCTTTTTATAAAAATGTTAGATCTTAGGAGCATTTTCATAATTCAGCAGGATCTACAATGTTAATGGACCTAAGCAGCAGGATCTTTGGACCACATACTATAAATACTCCTCAGAGTGCTTGTAATTTCAATTCCAGAGTCTAATGCTGGCTGTAATTCATTTGCTTTTCTTTTATTGAAAGTGATTCACAGCAGCCTTCTGATTTTGGAAGTGTATTGCTTTTGCTCAATTCTAAGTTTGTAGTCCAGATTTAAATGAAAGTATGGTAGTGGAGAAAACATGGTAGGGATTGAAAAAAGTAATGGTGGAGAATAAATATTTTCTATGAGCAAAAGATTCTTTTCAAGATATTTAAATCACTCAGGGATAAATTAGAATTTTTTATCTCCTGTTTCATTTCAGGCTTCCAGGGCTCATAATACTAAAATTTAAGGAAAATATGTTCTTTGCTTGATTGAAATTAAAAAGTTGCAAAGTACTCAATAGCTTCGGACTTTAATTTAAACATGAGATATGTGAAATGCAACTTGATGTTCTGTGTGTGTATTGAGTTGGCATAGCAAAATTGACATGTATAATTTAAAAAACCTGGTTAAAATGACTTTGTTTCAACTTTAAACAGAATTAGAATTTTGGATATGATATAGCTCAATTCAAGCAAATTTCATGATTTTATAAATGAGGAAATCAAGGCCAATAAAGTTAAATGATTGTTATTAGAATCAGAAGTGGAAAATCTCTTGAGGATTTTCACTGTATATAATATGCCTTTTTTCACTTGGTAATAGTCCAGAAGTGTAATAATATAAAATTATTTTGACAATTTAAATAGTGGCAGTACTATTATTTGAATAAATATGGTTAAGTTCAAGTAAAAGGAGAAATATAAATTTGAAAAATGAAATCTCCTAAACATCACATCTTTTAATGTTCATTATTTTTAATGTTCATTTTTCCCCCCATCAGGGAAATCAACTGTTTGGATCTTCTTATCTAATGAAGAACAACTTCTGGTAAGGATGTTTAATAAATGAAAATTTTATAAAAATGATCTATCATGTTTATTGGATGTCATCTGTGTTTTCACTTATAATTTCTAATATACAGACAGCTGAGAAAAATATGTATCATATATTTATGCTTCATATCATATTATAGATACAAAAATGGAGTCACTAAAAATCTGCTCTTTATTTTCACTGAGAGGTAAATGTCTGACAACAGATTGAAATGTTACTTATTTAAGAATCAGTAATAATAGTGCCCTTTAATTGGCATGTGAAAGAATTTAAAGCATTTAAGGAAAAAAATGAACCTCAGAGTTTCCCTTGACCTCCCTAGCAAAGTAGATGGCTCCTCTTCTACAGGCACTCCCCTGCCCCATTGACCTGATTTTTCTTTTTAGAACATTTATAATCACCTGGAATTTGTTTGTTTATTTATTTATCCCTACAGTGCCCATCATGCCCACCAGAAGATAACTTCTAGGGGAGCCCAAATGCTTGCATATTGGCAAATGATTGGCCCATAGGTATTTGTTGAATGGATGCAGTAAGGATCAATAAAGTGATCACCTGTTATGTACCAGCCACTGAATCAGGTTGCTTCACCATTTCCATTTATCTGTGTAGTAAATCTAAGAAATAGGTATCAACTACATTTTATAGATAAGGAAATAGTCTCAGAGTAGAAAAATTATTTGCTCTGGATTATGTAATTATTATGAAGGTGCTGGAACTTGAACTCTTGTTTAGCAATTTCAAATACTAAGCTCGCTCTTTTTTGGAACAAGTAACCTGAAATTCAGGATGTTAAAATGATGTCAAGAATAAATCAACGGGAACTGAATGCAAAGACTAGAAGTAATGTTTGAACACAAAATTTCCATTTCCAAAAAACCACACTGCTCCCGGGCATCTCTAGATAGGAGGCTGGATAACTGATTTCCTAGTCCCAACATATTCATGTGTATTTGACACCTCTCTAACAAAAAGAATAAAATTTTAGAAATTATGGCTAGTTTTTATTACATAGGTACTTATCAACAGTTTTGAGTTAACGTTTATGTTGTAAATATATAATAAGATACACTGGTCTGACAGGGTAATGTTAAAAAATATATAAATTTTAATTCTAAAAATAGTCAATTAATGTTTAGGTGTTCATACTCCAATTAAAGATCATATTATCTATATTTTAGAAATTGTATTATTTTTAATTAAACTTTAAAATTTTGAGATCATTATAGATTCATGTGCCATCATGAGAACCAATTCAGAGAAATTCCGTGTGCTTTTTTTTACCCAGTTTTTCCAAGTATAGCATCTTGCAAAGCTATACTACAAAATTAAAGTCAGGTTATTGACATTAATCAGTTAATATAAAGAACATTTCCACCACCACATGAATCCTTCCTGTTGCTGTATTGTAGCTATACCCACTTCCCTATTCCCCCTAACTCCTCACAACCACTAATCTGTTCTCCATTTCTAAAATATTGTCATTTCAAACATGTTATATACATGGAATCATCCAGTATGCACCCTGACAGAACTGGCTTTTTTCACTCAATGTAATTCCTTGGTGATCCATATAAATTGCTCTGGGTATCAGTTGTTTATTTCTCTTTCTTGCTGACTAGTATTCCATGGTATGGATGTAGCCAAATTTGTTTAATCATTTAACTATTTAAGGATATCCAGATTATTGTTAGCCTCTGGTTATTTATTTATCTTTTGATACAGAGTCTTACTCTGTTGCCCAGGCTAGAGTGCCCTGGCATCAGCCTAGCTCACAGCAACCTCAAACTCCTGGGCTCAAGCAATCCTACTGCCTCAGTCTCCTGAGTAGCTGGGACTACAGGCATATGCCACCATGCCTGGCTAATATATATATATATATATATATATATATTATATATATATATTTAGTTGTCCAGCTAATTTCTTTCTGTTTTTTTTTAAGTAGAGATGGGGGTCTCACTCTTGCTCAGGTTGGTCTCTAACTCCTGAGCTCAAAAGATCTGTCTGCCTTGGCATCCCAGAGTGCTAGGATTACAAATGTGAGCCACCACGCCCAGCCAGCCTCTGGTTATTATGAACAAAACTGCTACGACATTTATGAACACGTTTTATTGTGAACATAACTTTTCATTTCTCTGGGAAATGAAAAGTCCCATTATAATTTTTAAATTTAATAAAACAAAAAATGATATCAAATATTATCATTCATGCTGGGCCCTCACAGCTCAAGATTAACTAAATCAGGACAAAAAGAGGACTTACATAATGTAAACGGAAAAAAGCCAAACTCTGTAAAATAATTTTAAAGAGATTTACTTTGAGCCAAATTTCAGGACCATGCAGAGCCATGCCGAGCTGAGCACGCCCAAGAAGCCTTGAGCAAGTGGACTTGGTTGTGCTGGTTACAGTTCGGTTTTATACATTTTAAGGAGACAGGGGTTACAGGTAAAGTCATAAAACAATACATAGGAAGCATACATTGGTTTGGCCCTAAAAGGCGTGCCATCTCAATGGAGATGGGATGGTTACAGATTATAGGTGGTTTTAAAAATTCTTTGACTTGTAATTGGTTAACGACATGAAGCTTTGTCTAAAGGCTTGGAATGTTTTAAGATAAGGAGCTGTCAATCAGAGACAAGCCACCTGACATCCATTTGTTGTATAAATTGAGGACCTGCAGGTTTGTCTTCTATACCCTTTGGACTCTTAATAGGTTACAAAGGATGTCTGCAAGAAGGGAGGGGGGGGCATGATGAGGCATGTCTGCCCTCCTTCCTCATGGCAGGCAATTTAGTTTTTGGAAATTCCCTTGGCCAAAAGGGAGTCCATTCAGTCAGACAGTGGGGGGTGAGCCTTAGGATTTTATTTTAGGTCACAGTAAGTTAAAGGGAAATTAAAAAACTGTTTTTTATTGATGTATATAAGCATCCTTTCAATCGTTTATTATGGCTGGTGCATCTCTGAAACCAATAGTCTTATCTTGTTTATCTAAGAAATGTCCAGTTACCTCATTATGTTCTTTCTTTGAATTTTTATATGCTAAGCATTGACTGTTGGTTTATTTTGCTCTGATACCTATTGAAGTGAGAGTACTGGGTTTATGTACATAGATCAACTTGTACAGGATTGGAGCTGTAATATTTCCCTTAAGAACTAGGGATGCTCTTCTAATTTGCTGGAGCATGACACGCCAATGTGTCAGGGTGTGTTTTATAGCATTTATTAATAATCTACATTTCTCTCATGAGGTATATTTGCTGGCCTGGCAATGTGCCTGTATTCATCTAACCTTGAACCATAAGAAAACAAACAACATTCTGCCAAATAACCATATGGGAAGACGAGTGTTCTAAGTAATCCAAAAGTATAATTAAATACACACACACACACACATAGATGTGTATGTGTATAACTGTATGCATGTATATATGTATACAAGCCATAAAATACTGCTCTATCTAGAAATTTCATACTCTTGTAGGCTAAAATCAGGAGACTACAAGAAAAGTCTCTGTTTGCCAAGTACTTGTCTTGTAAGAATTGCTAAAATTGTACCTGCCTTATTTACATCCTGCTAAGATAAGTTGGGAGTAGACCATAATATACACAAGCCAACTATCGTAGAAAAAAGTTAAATACCTCTCTACTAAATTCTGAAATTCAGACAAATTCAGAAATTTCCATACTTCCTGCTATTTTTTCATACATTAGAATGAAGACAGACAAAAGTATGGATTTATTTGTGCATTTAAGAAATATTTATCTATCACTTTCTTTGTGAAGGTTCTGATGTAGGTGGTGGGATATCAAAGTGAGCAAAATCCTTGCTAATGGAGCTCATATTCCAGTTGTGGGCAGAGGGAGGTAATCGATGTGCACATAAATAAATGGATGAGAAATTTTCGAATACTTTTCTGTGAAGAAAATGAAATGGGATGATGAGACAAAGTGGTTAGCATAAGAGTGTTATGATTATATGCTAGCAATAGTGGTCAGAGAAATCTTCCTCAGCAGGGAACAGATGTCAGCAGACACATGAATGCTGAGCTGGAGTCAGCAGTGGAAAAACATCCCAGGAGGTAGAATATTCCAGGCAAGGAGAATATCAAATGCAAAGACCCTAGGATGAAAAGGCGCCAGGTGACTTTACTTGGAAGATCTGTAGGTCTAGCTCTCATCATCTTAGAAGTGAATTGTCTGGATCCCTTACTTTCTGGAGCCAGAGCCCTGCCAGGCAGCACTGGCCACCCTACCACCTTAAAATGACTTATGAAATGGAAATAGAACAATTGTCATGGCAGGGAAGAATATAGCATATACTAGAGAGTAACACAGAAATGGAAGAATAAAAAACTTTGAAGTGCCAAATGGACATGTAAACAGAGAAGCAAGAAAAGTTTGATAGAGTTGTGGGAACTGTGCAGATTTTAGTTGAACAGAACATTTCAAGGAAAAATAATGGACTGGTGTGGCCGGATGAATGAACGAAGGGGAGTCTTGTAGGGGAAGAGGTTTGAGATAAGCTACAGAGCTAGACATATGGAGGCTTTAGGGTCTTATTGATTAATTTAATGAAGCTGCTTTTTTTTTAGTGAATCATAACGGCTGCAGATATGAACTCGGAAGCCAGAACTCCTAAGATTGAATCTTACTACAAACACTGACCAGCCTGTAACCCTGTTTTGAGCTTCACCTCCTAGTCTGTAAAATGATGTGAATATTTGAATTTTTCTCATATGTGTATTGGAGTGCTAAATGAGTTAGTCTGAATGAAATGGGGAAATATTAGAGAGTTTTAACTATAGACGTTACAAAATATTGCTTAAATTTTGGTGGAATTATTCTGGCTGTTGAGAATACAACAAACAGTAAATGCAAAGGTTGAGCAGAGAAACCAGTTGGGAAGCAGTTGAGATGCTCCAGTATGGAGCAAGGCATTGAAAGTGGAAAACATAGAAAGTGGTCAGAATCTAGATATGATCTGAAGGTAAACCCACAAAATTAGTTTATGAGATAAAAGTAAGAAGTCAAGAATGACTTTAAGTTTTCTGATATGAACAAGCAAACAAATGAATAGTCTTCATTGAAATTTGGAAGACACAGATGAAGCATGTTTGGTAGGAAGAGCAAAATTCAGCTTTGCACGTGTCAACTTTGAGATGCCAATTAGACATCCAAGTGGAGACGTTAACTGAGCAGTCAGACATCTGAGTTCGGATTTAAACTCATGAGGCAGGATGAAGTCATAAAGGGAATGGACCAGATACAGAAATGAAGAGCTATAAGAAGTGATGATTGGGATACTCCAATGTTGGTCACTCAGGTAGAAAAATAATCTGAACGCTACATGAAAAAAGTGCTTCAAGAAAGGGGAAATGGCCAACTGTGTCACCTGCTGCCTTTGGGTTAAGTCATATGTGTCCAGAGAACTGATCAGTGGTGGGGATGAAAGCCTGATCAAAGTGGGCTTGAGGGAGAATGAAAAGAGGAAAACTTTGGATGGTAAGGGAGAGTGATAGGTGGGAAGCCATA